TCTGCTGATGCAGCCGCCCTGGGGACAGATCCTCAACAGCTTCCTGGTCTGGTTAGCAGATCCACTGTAAGGTCCTTGATTGTCAATCATTTTTTTGTGTATTTACCAAAATGTAAAGTTATTCCTTTTATCAAAACCACATATTTTTCCTAAACCTGTGATGGTTTAACTGGGAAAACAAGGGACAAATTCAAACACAAGGTTCTGCTTTTCATTGTTTTTAATCAGGAACACATTTTTGTGAAATACATAACACTTGTAATGAAATACAATGTGTGACGATGTGAGCACTGTGTTCAGTACAGCAGTGAAGGATTATCTGTCAATCACTATTAACTCTATGCAACAATAGCATTTGACTATAAACACCAATGAACTTTGCTTTTACAAGCAATCCAATAACAGTATTATTTGTTTTAACAGACGATGAAATCAAAGCAGTGCATATGTGATGGAGCGGTGTCATGATCACCAGAATATCCTTGAATATGCAAAATCAGTAACAATCAATCAAATCACCAATCTGTGAAGTCCCCATTCTGCCTTCTGAACCCTACCTCTGGTCTGTAGACAGAAAGAAACACAGAAAAGAAAGACAAGTTAATCACAAAATGGCTTCAACCAACCAATTGTCAAAGAATTGTGAGATCACATGACACGAAAATTCATCTTGTCAGGCTTCTAGTAAGCTAATGCGTTTGTGTCCAGTAAACCAGAGGACGGACCAATCAGAGTCCTGTGAGCTACTGGCTGTTAGAGTGGGTCAGGTGTGCGCGTGACGACACAGAGAGGTGACTGTGCTTTATGAAGCATAATCATCTGATAATACAACTCCATATCCATTCAATTTAGGTTTAAATATTTCAACAAAAGTCCTGATGTGAGGCGTCCTTTTTTTGTTTAGTTTTCAGGTTGTGCCGTTATCTGAGTTTCACTGTGCAACAAAGTATTTACAGGTGGGGAACTCATAATTGAATATATAAAGAAGCATGTGCTTGTAGACCATTCTTAAAAAACCCTGTTCAACTTAGCTAACATCAAAGAGCATCACAGTGTAACTCTATCTCAGGTAATGTAGGCTGGTGTTGTTGGAGTGTGGACTTCCCCAAATGTTTTTACTTAACCTGTGGCCTAATGTAGTTAGTTAATGAAATGCTCCTTGGTACTCAAACATTACAGATTCCTCAATATTTGAATTCATATTATGTCTTCAAGCATGTTGGATATAGTTTTGTGTTAACATGACGAATAATCTCTTACCTCGGAGGAGGACGAGTAGGAGGAAGATGAATCTGTAACAAGGACATTTCATACATTTCACTGACAGATTCGTTCAAAGAATATTTCTGAATTAACAAATAACAACCCGGCAGTTATTAGTGAGCTATTATAGTGACACAACGGGCTCTTCCTTTTCAATAATGGCGAATTAAAGGGTTGAATTCGGACAGCAATGATCTTTAGCAAGTGTTTTTTGAGATGCAGATTCTGGGAGATTCAGTCATTTTAGGATGGAATGGAATAAATACAAGTTTGGTCTTACTGGCAATATCCCACATGCTCCTGGTCTCCAGCTACAGTTGGAATATCTCTTCCGTCTGTTTCCCAATACGTCTCCGTTTTCAAAGTCTTTGAATAATGCTTTAGATTACAGCCCGCATAGTTACGAGGCTACATGGGGTCATCAATAGATTGGCCTCCTCACTGGGAAGAAGAGGTTAGGGGCTGAGTTGTGTTTAAGAGGGACTGGGAAATAAAGTACACTCAAAGTATTTTTTATAAATTACTTATTGAAATAACTTATCTATTATTGCAGGACATTGGGAAAACAGGTAATAGTGTCCATATTTATTTTAAGATGATGATATACTTCAATAAAACCTGAGGCTAAACCAGGGAAGAGCAGTGTACTTGTAAAGCTTCAGCTAAATGTAAGTGTATGGAGAACAACTGGAGAACAACAGTGCGGCTGCAGTAGGAGCTGTGTCCGCATTCTCGGCAATAAGTCAGACACGTTCCCGGTGGGTGTTGGCCTCCGCCAGGGCTGCCCTTTGTCACCGGTCCTGTCCGTGACTTTCAAGGACAGGATATCTAGGCGCAGCCGGGGGGTGGAGATCGTCAGGTTCGGGGGTCTCGGGATCGCCTCTCTGCTGTTTGCAGATGATGTGGTCCTGTTAGCCTCCTCGGATCGTGACCTCCAGCATTCACTGGGGCGGTTTGCAGCTGAGTGTGAAGCGGCGGGGATGAGCGTTAGCACCTCCAAATCTGAGGCCATGGTGCTCTGCCGGAAACCGGTGGATTGCTCCCTCCAGGTGGGGACGGAGTGCCTACCTCAAGCGAAGGAGTTCAAGTATCTCGGGGTCTTGTTCACGAGTGAGGGTAAGATGGAGCGGGAGATCGACAGACGGATCGGTGCGGCTGCAGCAGTAAAGCAGGCGCTGCACCGGACCGTCTTGGTGAAGAGGGAGCTGAGCCGGAAGGCAAAGCTCTCAATTTACCACTCGGTCTACGTTCCTGCCCTCACCTATGGTCACGAACTCTGGGTCGTGACCGAAAGGACGAGGTCGCGGGTACAAGCGGCCGAAATGAGTTTCCTCCGTAGGGTGGCCGGGCTCAGCCTTAGAGATAGGGTAAGGAGCTCGGTCATCAGGAGGGAGCTTGGAGTAGAGCCGCTACTCCTTCGCGTCGAAAGGAGTCAGCTGAGGTGGTTCGGGCATCTAATTAGGATGCCTCCTGGACGCCTCCCACTGGAGGTTTTCCAGGCACGTCCAACTGGGAAGAGACCCCGGGGAAGACCCAGAACACGCTGGAGGGATTACATCTCCCAGCTGGCCTGGGAACGCCTCGGGATCCGCCAGAATGAGCTGGAACATGTTGCCGGTGAGAGGGAGGTCTGGGTCGGCCTGCTTGACCTGCTGCCACCGCGACCCGACCCCGGATAAGCGGAGGAAAATGGATGGATGGATGGAAAATGTTCATTAACCTATCTGACAAGTTACAAACATGTTGACACTGAATTGAAATATTAAGCAGTGGAATGTTCAATGACCAAAATATCTGATTGTGTAATATCCGAACGTAGTGACGACAGGTTACTTTTGTATTTCATTGGTATAAGATATTAATATTGTTATATAACATGTTTGCCATTTAGGTCCTTAATTGTGACAATCAAGGACCTTTTGACAATGCGAGAAGCTTGTTACAGTGGATCTGCTTACCAGACCAGGAGGCTGTTGATCATCTGTCCCCATGGCGAATGAACTGAAGAGTTTGATACACACAGGTCTTTATATACTCACTGCCAGCCGACCACTTTCATGTGGAGAAAGGGAAAGCAGTTAAGAGGGTGTAGATAAGAAAACCCATCCACACGCACATACACAATTTTAAATGATTTCTTTAACTGCAAGACTAATTTAACCATAATATTGACTTCTGGTATGTTTAACTGATGTATCTGCTTCCTTCCCCTGCAGTCCCTCCTTGGACATCTCCTAATTATATCATCGAAAAAACATGCCAGCAGGTTTATAGAGAAATAACATTAGCCGACATAATTACATAACTTTTGTGGTTGAGGTCACAAACTTCATTGTTGGTTGTATCTATGATAGTTTAGGTTTTATATGCCCATGTTAGGGTGTTTGTGACTCTAAATATCAGCATACTTGGATAGCACAAGAGCTAAATGAGAGATTCTGTAATCATTTGTAATAACATTATTTACATGACTGTTGTTCAATGTAAAATGTGTTGTCTTTGTATGTATTGATTTAATCATATGTTAGGGTCATTGGAATTGAGGACATTTGCACCAACAACTGCTTTTATTGTACAATAATTAAGTACCACTGAAATTAAGAAATGCCACGAACACACACACACACACGCACGCACGCACGCACGCACGCACACACACACACACACACACACACACACACACACACACACACACACATGTTTTGAAATCAATAATAACTTTCATTTAATTCACTAGAAATATGAGTGATATCTGACAACTCTGTACTGTCTTAAATCAAGCCATTTTTTCCAGCATTGGAAATGCCCCTTTGGTCAAATTTCTGACCATCTTTTGAATAATCTGTGCAGAAATGTGTCAGCGTGAATCTGCTGGAACAGTAAGTTTTGGACAGGAGTATGACGACCGCCACGCTTCATCTTCCCAAACAACAAAAGGTGGCCAGCGCCCAATTGCTCTCACCCCCATAGCCAGCAAGTACTTTTAGAGGCTGGTTAAATCCATCTGCCCCATGCTGCCACTCGCCCTTGACCCCCTGCAATTTGTATACAGCCAAAACAGAGCCACAGAGGACGCCATCGTCCACGTCCTACACTGTTCTCTCCCACCTGGACTGGAGGGACACTCATGGATGCTGTTTGTGAACTACAGCTCAGCCTTCAATACAAAACTACAAAAGTATGCAGAGAATGCATTTCATGTACTTGTATGTTTGTGACAATAAAAATGAAGTTTACGTCTTTTAGTTTCATTCATTCCACCTCTTTATTTACAGCACTAACATCCCTCCTGTCATTTCTGACTGTAATGCTCCACCTGTCCACTAGTTGGCCTCAGTGTTTCTTGAGTGTCTTCAGTCACGCGCTCCTCGACAACCGACCAGCAGCACACCTGCTCCTCATTTCCCAATCAGACTCCAGCTTCCTCCAGACACCACCTGCTTGTAGCTCTGCAGCAATTAGTCTGTTTCACAACACAGGATATCAATTTATCGTCAACTACTTGGCCTGTGAGTCTGCTTGTACTACACATTTTAACAGATATTTATGGAAGGCATTGTGATAAAGTGTCAGCTAGAATTTCTTTGGCGCTGCGCCCACCTAAAACAGATGTGTCCAAGAAGTTCATTTTTTTTCCTTTAGAAATTTACAAAAAGATAAATACTCGGTACGCATTATAACAATATGTCTTTAAACCGTAATCCTTCCCCCCCCCTCTCACTTGTTTACTCAAACTGTCATCACTTCCCAGCCACCTAATTCCTTGTTCCCAGCAGAGAAACACTAGAAGTAGACCCGGATCAGGCTTTATCCTGATTTACTCTCAGAAACCGGGACAGGCTGCACGAATCAGACCTCAACCAAAGAACCAGGAAAGATCGTAAAAAGAGCGTCTTGAAGACTCCTTACGGGAGTAGACTAATTGCTGTCGTGTTTTTTCCACCCATTTTTTTGTGTCCGTGAAGGTGCACCGGTGGTCGGTTTCACCCAGCCGGAGACAGACGGAGAGATCGGTGAGTTATGATTTTTGTGAAAATCTTGTCAGAGAAAGATGTAAAATACAATGCGCAAAACCTTTTTTTTTTTTTTAATGACATATACTGTTTGTTGCAGCTTGCACCAAAATCATTATCATCACCAGGATATTGTGTGTCTGTGACCACTCATGAGGAAAAGTCACCTTTATTTCTGTCATTTATTCCAGTTTGAATACTTTGCTATTTGTTTAAATCCCAGCAATATAATTCTCAAGATCTAATGCATTGAAAGTGCAAAAGTACTCATGGTTGTGACTGTTAATATTAAGATAAACAGTATTGCTTTTACTGGAGTGTTTTGTTCAATCTTAAACAGCTCTCCTCTGCAGCTGCTCTCCACATCCACAGGGATTCACTGCAGACCTGCTGTCATGTCGGCTTCCATCATAAAAACATTGGCCTCAACTTGTCCGACCGAGAGATTTTCCTCCTCAGGAATGCTAATGCAGAAAATCCCAACTCCTGCTCGGTGTTAATACCCCTGATTTACTTGATTAAGTGGCTTGTAGGACCTCAAAATGAGTTTTAAGTGCTTATGGACTCCGGTCTGTGCTCTATTATATAAACCAGGAGGTTTAACATGCGTAGGAGGTGCCGGGATACATGCATACAATACATTTAAAACAGTTTATGCATGTTTACTTTGATTCACTGTAACACAGTAGACATGCGGGAAGCTTTCTAATTAGTCAGTAGGACTCTGAAAGGACACTTTACTACAATTATGACAATATTTCACCTTATGGTCTCGTTGACAAATCAAGTTTAGTGCTTTTTTAAAATATAAACGCTATCATTTAATGTTTAATTATTCTGCAATATTCCTATGTAGTCAAATGACATTTTTGAAGGTCTAAATTCATTAGTGGTGTAGACAAAGTTGCTAGTTTATTAGGTACACGTAGCTATAACTAATAGTCTAATACAACAGTTAATCCTACTTTCATGAAGTTGATCATGTTCAACATTTGTTAAAACTGTTTCTGAGAGATGTTGAATCCACTTTAAGCTTGATTTAGATGCTGCAGTTGAACTATATTTCATAATACCGACTTCCTATTATTTTATAAACATTACATCGTACATTTGTCAACCAATACCTCATTTCACTGTCATATTCTGCTCTGATTGCTGTTTTTTTATTTTTTTTTTGATTCATATTCTCTTCTTTAGATGATAACAACGAGCTGATTGATCAGAGGGGTTGAGTGACAGCCTGAAGAGTGTCAGCGATGGGCAGGAAGTTGGATCTGTCGGGGCTGACAGACAACGAGGCGGAGCATGTGCTGCAGGTGGTGCAGAGGGACATGAGGCTGCGCAAGAAGGAGGAGCAGCGTCTCAGGTTAGTTCTGACCTACACGCTGACTTCTAACACATAAACCTGCAAGTGTATATTTACTACTTTAGGTCAGTGGTGGAGGAAGTATTCAGGACTTTCACCGAAGTAGCAATACCACAGTGTTGAAATACTCTGTTACAAGTAAAAGTCCTGCATTCAAACTTATAAAAATAATACCAATTTCTTGAGTAAATGTACATAGTTATATTTCACCGCTGTTTCTAGAAACTACATAAAAACTTTACATATAACGCAGTCTAACAAAGACACTTTGATCTTGTTTAAAGCTGCTCTAATAAGATTTGAAATGAAATGTGAGTTGCTTTTACATTAGTTATGAACACACAGAGGATTATCACCCGACTCTGCTGCTCCCCTCGACTTTATAAAGCATTTCAACGTATGTTAGCTTCATGGTTTCGGTTTTACTGTCCTCAACTTTAAAGTCTTCGGGCGTGGTTATCAGCCGCAGCTGGTTTCAGAGAAAAAAATCCCTAAAAACCAATTGTACTCTACCTGCTCAGCACCAAACAACAGAGAGACACAGTTAATGAGCCTGTAGCAGCTAAAGAGACAGATATCTCCTTCAGGAGTGTTTGATTTGCATTCATCCGGTGACACAAACACTAATCCATGAAGCTGAGAGGAGCTACAGATTCAAGTGATAATCCTCTAAGTTTATCATTTTGCGCAATCCTTTTGTCAATGATTACAACCGCAGAGCATCAGGAGGTTTTAGATAAACTCAAGTAACTTTTTTTGTGAGTCAAGAGATACTTGATATCCATTATAACAAAATCTAATATATTGTAAAAGCAGTATACATTCACATTGTGTGGAGCTCAGTGTACATTCGAGGCATTTTTAGACCTCGGCGGGTGTTTCACATCCTGTCTTTCTGGACAGGAAGTGACTGCCCTTTCCTGTTGTACTCAGACTGGCTTCTTCAAAACCTCTAACCTTCAGAGCCCAATCACAACATGTATGAACACAAAGACAGAATAATATGCCAATTGGATGGGTTTGATCTGCACCTCGGGTTTATTTTGACCTAAGAGAGATAAAGAGAGAGGGGTGCATAGTGGTAAATGATTGTCTACTCGTCAGAGGTTATGAATAACATGGTAATGTCATTTTCTCGTGACTCTGTTACTTGCTCCTTGTACTTCATTATGCTTACATAATATTGTTCTTCTGCGTATCAAAAAGGCTCTCAGCCATCAGGGAACCCAATCAAACAATAACAAATTGGACCACTCATGCAAGATGAACTTAATGGCTGTAATTTCCTCAAGATATCCAACACTGAATTCCGCCATATGTACAAATTGCATACAGTGCAAGTTCATATAAGGTGACATTTGTTGTAGTGACGGATGCTCTCAACAATGCTGATAAATTCTGTGTTAAAGTAATACTTTTAGTAGTTCTGTGGAGTTTTAGATATTTAGTAGTGCCATGGAGCTGTTTTTCTTTAAGTGAGCCCCTGTTTTGCACGCCCACAAGGATGCTCATGCATGCACACAGTGATGTCACAGTGGTCACACACACACACACACACTGACCTGCAGGTGGCAGTAATGATCCAATACTATGAAACGATATGCAAAAAAAAGACAGAGAGAAAAGAGAATGTATGTTAGTCAACAAACGATACGGATTTAAAAACGGCATTCAACAGGTTTGACCTCAAGCATTTTACTGTTGCAGATGGTCAAACTCAAGCTAATGTATCTTTAACTCTAACTTTAGATCTTTAACTTTAACTTAAGTAGATTTGTCAAGGTCACAAGATACATTTGGGATGCATTTATGTTAATATTTTGAATCAAACCATCTTGAGGGATCATGTCTCTTTAGTGGAACTCACAGACATCTGAATTGTATCCAGGGCCCCCAACCAGATAGTGTTTACATTTTATAAGCTCTTCCTGTGTATTTTATTATTGTGACATCTTGAGCTACACTTGTCAAAAGAAATAGTGGCATAAAAAGTAAAATATTTGCCCCTGAAATGGAGTACCTCGTTAATTGTACATGATAACAGTATTTTAGTTAATCTCTTCAACTGTGTAACTCTAGCTCTAAACGAGTTAGTTACTCTTGTACCTGCGAGGTTTGACGTTATCCAAAGCCATTAAGTGGTGAGCTTTCTACTTCCTCTTACTAAAAGTGTGTCGAGCAATTAAGGTGCCTACTTATAGCTAATCTTGTTGTTTACTGTGCTAGATGACTAGACTTGTGCTGACATTTAGCTTAAAAGAGGACGTATTTATACATTATTATTTTCTTTTATTTGTGAAAAAGCCAAGAACACCTATTTTATATTTAACTTGCTAAATGATGTCAAACACATTCACACCACATCTCCTCTTCAGCAGAAGTACATTGAAACATGACATCTTGTACCATTTTCAGATATCTAAGGGGTGAATCCCTCTTGTCTAGTCGTAAAGTGGACTTCGACTTCATGCATCCTGCTTTTCAATTTCTTTTACTGACAACCCTCTGAGATGAAATCCCGGAGCCTCTGTGAATGTCAAATAGCGACGCGTGATAGACGGGGGAGTTGAAGATTAGAGGGGAATACAGATGCGTGATCAATCCAGTGTTCAATTGTTCACCCTCCCTTCTTCTCATGCAGAGAGAAAGTGTCACTGTTGACTGAGCTCATCTAATTCAGTGGACATAATCTTGTAAAAGTGTCTGACAATACTAACTGAAATATCACGCGCTCCATTTGTTAATGAACTGATATTAATGTGCCTTGTTTTCTAGGTTGTTGCCACAGTTTAACTACTGCAGATAATAGTACTTTCTAGTTTAGGATGAGATTCATCGACCAGCCTGCAGAGGGAGTGTTGAGCAGAGAAAAGGCTTTTAATCTCCACAGTGAACATTTTTAATGTGGGTTATTATAAGTAATGAATGATTTTAATCACACCTACTTAGTGTGTGTGTACATGTATTATAATCTCTATTCACAGTAATCTATTATAATCCTGTTTTAAAATTGTGAAAAAACAACTATACTTTGTTCTTATAATCTGTGACATTAGGCAAAGCTTGTTGTTACACAAATGCATATGCATGTATTTACATAAATTCCCCTTCACACACTTCTTGTATCCAGTTTCTGGTAAACCAACTGAGATGCACACAGCTGCCAGTCTTTAGTTCCAGAGTTAAAACTAGTGCGACCTAATACCACAGTCCTGCAATCATTTCTACCTGCATGAAGGTGATAATGAATTGTTGTTGAACTGTTTCAGAGAGGTGTTCATTCTACTTAATGTCCATTTTGGACATTTTTGTTGATTTGGTTCTGTCAAACTGTATTATGTGAATTTAAGAATATTTGTGTTTATTCATTACAAATTAGAATCTGGTGCTGGTCTGTTATCAGAAAAACTTTATTGTGAAAGACAACACGACTCTCACAAACATACATGTAGCATTAAAACGTTTCTGTTCTTACTCTTTACTCTTTTACTTTTTTAATTGTAGTCTTTTATTGTCTACTTAGTATAACACAATTTAACAGCACAATCTATAGAATCAAGATGTCTGAAACTAAAACTAAACATGATCATAACTACAATTTATTGTTGTATTATACTGCATTAGTTTCAGCTATATGTGTACTAATAAACAATTGAGTGTATAGGCTTTATGATATTCCTGAAAACAATTTGTTAGATTCAAGACATATCTATTCAGCAGCAGACTGGCATTGTCGTCAATATGAATTGGGTATAAATGTGACGATCTTGATGTGGCACAAACGTCAGACTGTGTGTATCTTATTAAGGTCTTACAGCAGAATAACAAGTTCTCAGGAAAAAAGCCACCAGAGCCTCACTGCACCTGACGATTTAGGGATTGTTGGCATGCGTATCTCTGTAGCGCCATCAGCCACACACGCATGCTGAGCCTCAGCGTGGATGTTAATCCTGTCTGATTTGAGAGAGGAAGTGAAGTTGTGTTACAGGAAGGTGAAAGCATCAGTTAAATTCAGAAAATAAATGATGTGGTTTAATCTGTTTCCTTAATCCTCTGCAATTGTTTACCTACAGTACTCATCAATTAATATGCTGAGTACTCTCTGGAAGTTCAAAATGACCACCGCAGCAGTAAGCTTATATTCAGTTATTTGTACGCAGATACATTTTTTTTTTTTTGTAGTGTTGTTAAACTACTCATTGTATTCACATAAAATACAATAAATATATACTGTACGATATACAATCTCGTAAACAATATTACTGAAAAGGCACAGGCAGAAGCATACTACTTACATATGCCCATTCTACAGTCTTATTAATTTAAGCTCCCCCCCCCCGGGGAAATAAAATAATCATTCATGCTAACCCTCACAAATGGCAACCGTTGTTTTGAAAACCAAAACTGAGTTACACATTATTACATTTATGTTGGCATTGTTCCATAATTAAACCCTTATGAATAAAAACAGACCAATAATCCAACCTCATTATTACCCGTTATGTTTTCAGTTTTATTGGATTTCATTCAAGCATTTTTAAGATTAATCGATTGGTTAACAATTTTGATAACCGATCAATTGTTCTGATCACGTCACCAAGCAAATATGTCAAAATCTTTTTTTATTTCTGGTTTTAGAAATAAAATTTAGACCTCTTTTAGTACAAAACAAGTCATTTGAAGACGTTGACTTGGGCTTTAGGAAATTGGGACTACTTTCTGACATTTTATGGATAACTGATAAACAAATAACTTGATTGATAAATCAGCAGGTAAATTAATAATCAAAATGAGTTAGTTGCAGCCCTAATAGTTATTTTGTCAGATTCTCATTCTCTAATATTTTCAGATTTACCCTTTTTATTATCAGATGTATTACAGCCGCTTTGAGTAAGCCTGTGATATATGATTTAGATTCCATTGAAAGATGATAAATTATCATAATGAATTATTGCCCTGCCTTTTGACATATTGTCTACTTTTTCCAGCTTCTTTTTTTTCCATAACCGACATGCAGCACTCAACCATTCACTTTAAAATAACCAGTTAATACAGTCTATACAAAAGCACAGTGACAGGGTCATGAGGAATTTATTTTTTGCTTTACATTTTGAATTATAGTCATTTAAAACTGAAATGAAATTAACTTTAAAACCTACAGTGGCTGATTTTGTTTCTCTGTGCCCGTGTTGTCAGACTCGCCGTAATGATGCATCTATGAATGATTCCGTAATGGCTGATGCTCCTGCTGACCTGATGTGAAAATAATGGATTTTTTGTGACACTTACCATCTTCCACTACTTCCACCAGTTTCCATTTGTCTCGTCTGCATTCGCCCATCTTGTTTTCCTACTGTAACGTCGTATTCCATCATCTTTAGCCTGTTTCACATGTTGCATCGTGCAAGTCCAGTGGTGGTAGAAGTGCTCAGATAATTTACTTAAGTAAAATAAGTAATACCACAGTGTTTAAATACTGATTTAAAATAGCGATTAGTAAAATAAAAGAACAGACGTCTTAGCGACCTTATACCATAGTATTTTGTTGAAGCACTTTAATAACGTTTCCCAAAACAGAATAGGTCAAAAACACTCCCAACATTTCTGACGGTGAAGGTCAACTTTTAAACCATGGAAGAGAAGTCCCTAACGTGCTCAAGGAAATTATATTTAAGCATCTTTAATTGCATAACAACTGGGCAAACAGTCATATGTCATATGATGGAAAGCTTCAGATCAGCCACTAAATGGACCTCGAGCTATAATAAATGTTTATGGTACTCTACATATCGGCAGAAAAGCTACTGCTGCTGTCGAGGAGAACGCGCTGATGTATTATTGAGCATACCCTCCTGCGTTTACCTTTACTTGAGCACAGCAGGCGACGTTTAAATATTCAATCAAGACATTTATGAATGAGAATTTCACTTTTAAAAAGAGCTCTGCCGGTGTTTCACCACTCTAGAATGAATAATGTACATTAAGGGAGATATTGCTGCTTATTTTTCTTTTAAATGACTAGAACATGAATAAAATGATACTTTGTGAAACCACTTTAATTTCTTTTTTCATTAAAGGGAGGCAAAGGATCAGTGTGACTGACTGTGTTTGTATGTACTTCATGTCCATTTTCATAATCATCCTATTTGACTCAATAAACCCACAGAGAGGAACTAATATCATAAATATTCTGTCCTTCTCCCCCCCCCCTCCCCCGATTGAGGATAACTCTCTCACACACATTCCTGGTTTCACGATCGTCCTCCCTCTAACCTTCCCCTCTCTCCCCCCTCCTCCTCCCCAGTGAACTGAAGCAGGAGCTCGACGAGGAGGGCAGTCGCTGCCTCCTGCTGTCACGGCGGAGTTGCTTCAACCAGCGCTGTTGCATCCGCTGCTGCTCGCCCTTTACCTTCCTGCTCAACCCCAAGCGCCAGTGCCACGACTGCCACTACAACGTCTGCAAGGCCTGCCGGGTCTACAACAAGCGGGACAAAGCCTGGCTCTGCTCTGCCTGCCAGAAGAGCAGGTAAGGGTTGAGTGGTTGTAGTCATGATTACGATGGTGTGTGTGTGTGTGTGTGTGTGTGTCAAGTCCATGAGGCTGAGTTAAGTGATGAGAGGCTGACGGTGACGTCAAAGGTTATTAAGCTCTTACTGCACCGCTGGAGACATGGATTTTGTGTTTATTACATAGTCACTAAGATACAGAACAGGATCAAGTCTTCCTCTGGCTGAAATATTCGGACTCAGTATTTGGACTCACTAGTCGCTGGTGTTGGAAGATGTGAGGCAACAAACGATGTATGTGCAACGACAATCTTCTCCTTTTCTTTTATTAAAATTGTCTTTTTTTTGTGTTGAATGCAGCTTCTTAGCGTCATGTTACAGAAGGACTTTGATGCACCATACAGAGGTTCAGGTTTCGAATGGTTGGCTGTATTTCTGTATTGCTGTGTCGTGTCATGTCAGAGTTTGGTGATACAGCCCAGATGTTTTATGGATTCTCGTGTGGTTTACTCAGTGCACGAACGTGAGTTGGAAGATGTGTACTGAGTGTTTCTTTTGGTTTACGAAAACTTTGTTACAATAATAAATAAAAACAACTTAAACGGACTAAGACATCTGTCAAACCTTACAAGAGTTTACAGAATATCCAGTTAAAATGCAATGAAAGAGTAGAGGTTAGCAGAGAGTAGAGATTCCAGTTAGGATGCGTAAACAAAGCTTAAAAATAAAATAAAACCAATTTAAAAGCAGTCGCAATGAACTATGTATACTATTTACCAGATCTTTTAGAACTGACATCAATTATTTAGAAACGTAATGTTGCGTTTTTATAGACATATTTGATGTTGTACATTAGTAGTATATAGCGCAATATTTAGGAGAAAGCGGTGTAATTTGTTAGTGTGTGTGTGAGAGAGACATACAGAAGTCATAGAACAAATAAATTCTTCCAGCAAAAGCTTTCATGCCACATATCCTGCTTTGTTTCTCACTGCTTTTTTTAATCCATAAACTAATTTGGTCTCTAAGGTGATATTCCTGCAGTTTCTCGTTGGAAGTGAATTGGAAAGCTACAGCGGTTTTATACCCAGAAATGTATCATCAGCATATAATATCACCAATACAACAAAGTCTGCGGCGTTTGACACTTGTTAGATATACGTACAGGTTATATATATTTTTTAACCTGATGTCTGTGTGTGTGTCTCTCTCAGGTTGTTGAAGACACAGTCACTGGAGTGGTTCTACACTAATGTGAAGACGCGCTTCAAGAGGTTTGGCAGCGCCAAAGTGCTGAAGACTCTTTACAGGAAGCACTTGGCGGAGCACGGCGCGCTTTCAGAGCTTACTGGTAAACCCCTCTGTTTATTAGTGTTGTGAAAGAACTTGTTTCTGTTAACTTGGTGATATGACTGAACATATCTTATGTGACACATTTTGTGATACCGTGTATAATTTGGGCCTATGGTGCCTGTCAAAACTCAATGTCTTATTTCTTGTAAAGCTGCACCAATCAAGAATTTGGATCAAATGACTGTAATGTGAAAGTTTGCACCTCAGCTCTACGGAGCATTTTTGCTTTTGTCTTTTTGTTTTGTGACCTTATTGCTGTAGTTTACTTTCAACGCTCTTATTTCACCGTTTTTAGCCGCAACAGGCAGTTTACAGCAACGAAGCTCTAAAAACCCACTGGACACGACCTGCTCAGTTAGTGACTAGCTGCTAAATGCTCCACTGTGTTTACCGGCTAAAGGGACAGATTTGATGGAGAGCCAAACAAAGCTAAAAGGGGAGTAAATATTGGACTTACATTCGTCAGGTGGCCAGAAGCACAACTCAAAAATGAATGCTAATATTGTGTTTGCAGGATAGACAACTGTTAGCTAGCTAAACTCTGTAAATACCATAGACATGTATATGAGAAGAGGACGTCGTCATCGGGGCGTCACCAATTGGTTTGTGGATTACTGTTTTTACGATTCAAAGCCGTATTGAATAAGACTTGAAACTAGCGATTGAGACCATAATCTCATGTTTACCATGTTCACTGAGGTGATAAATCACGTGAGAAATAGGGTCATTTTCTCACAGACTTTCATACAACCAAACTTCTTTTTGCAACCGGAGGAGTTGCTCACTGCCGGCCAGCAGAGAGAATGCAAGTTTTAAGACACTTCTGCTTTGGCTTCACGCATCAGAACCGGAGGTTGCCGACTGATTTAAAAAAAAAAAAAAAAAAAAAAAATAAATCTTTGACTGACTGAATTTGACACAAATGATCTTCGTTCAATTTGTCACTTATTTTTAAATTGAGCTTGAAAGTTATTCTTGACCTGGAAATAATAGTTAGACCTCAATTCTAACCTATTTATATTTCACCAGTGACAGTAAGAATATAGGCTTTTGTATCTTGCATCACATTTTTTACTGACATTTTGTAATCTGAGTAGTGTTTCTTTAAGCAGTCCTGCACATCTTAATGTGAAGCGTGTAGCGCAAACACACAGGGTTAGGTGTTTGCTGTAGCCAGCCATGCTGACGATGTATTCCTCTGAATAGGACTGTTCACCCAGCAGCATATGCTCCAGCATGTTGGGGACAGAGCGTTACAGGCTGTGGAGTGCATCTCCGGGCCATTACTTCAGACTCTGATCTGATTGAACAGACAAGGGATTTCAGAGAATTATGAGTGTTTTGTGGAGGCGAGGTCGCTGGCTGCAGATGATGCAGCGCTCTGACCCCTGTGGGAGGAGGACTGATGTGTGCTGGCATCAGGCCACCGCTCAGTGTCACATTCCGGTTTACTGTTTCATTCTCTGCTCACACGCACAAACTGTATCATACCGTTTAATTTGTTTATGACTGGAAATTGTGTTTAATCAACTGCCAAATCTGCATCTGCGTAGTTTGGCTCGTAAAAAAGCTCTGCTGTTGTAACTTTGCATAACAAACAATGCCAGCTGCATAAAAACCATCAGAATGAATGGAGCTGACATTTGGAAACTAATGGCATTGAATAGAGGCATCACCATGTGTCAGATTTGTGTCGCAGTGAAACATTTCCCCCATGACACACACTCACTGACACTGCTCAGAGACATGCTCGTCTAAAGAGTAATGCTAAATAGCAAAGTGACCCCGAGGAAGAGAACAGACATAAAGACACAGTTGACATTATTTGATGCTTATTTTACATGCGGTATATAAAAGTACAGACATAAAGAGAAATATTGAAAGCAGTCAGAAGTTAAAATTATGCTAATCACAAGTACAAAAAAATGAATATATATATTGTTAGGTATTAATCAAACTCTGTCAACTCGTTCCTTACCATTTTCCTCTGTTTTATTCAGACAATATACATTAACATTAGCCACACGGGGATCTACAGCCTTGCTAGCAGCTCTACTGTTCTTAGTCACAGTAGTGCTCTGAGTACACCAAGTACAGCTGACACTGATGGGAATGCCATTAGTTTTGCAGGCGTTTGGTCATAAACCAATTACAATTTTGACATTAAGATGACAGATTAAAAGTAAGGTTAAGTTGTTGTTATAGTTACATTTTATCTTGCGGGGAATATGAATGTCTGTACCAAATGAACTAACAGTTGTTGAAATATTTCGCTCAAAGACACAAATGTGAACCTAGATAAATAAAATGTGTTCATTAGTGAAAGAATATTTGAAACGATATGAGTTGCTTTTGCTACAATATGATCTCCAATTTTCAGTTGTCTTGGGAGTCTTTGGTAAGAATTGAAATAAACAGTATCATGACTTATTATAAATGTATGATACAAATCACATTAGTCTTATCTTTCAAAGTATCAACATAATACAGTGACAAACATACACACCTGTATGGAGCCAAAGAGTCTCAGGCTGCCTTCAGGGGTACTGTGACCTTAGCTGCTCATCGGTCATGAGTCTTTTTATGTCCCTGTGTTGCAGCCGAATGTGTCCCAACTCATTAGATGATACAACACAGACGTCTGCACACATACATATACTGGCGTCACAGATAAAATGTCCATGCTGCAGCCCCTAAAATACATAATTTTGTCTTAATTTACAGGATGCATCACCTCAGTGAACTCATGCTTGCTTGAAGGGTTTTTAGTAATGAAAGAGTAGAGTGTTAACTGCATTTAAAAAAAATAATCTACAGTTCACATCACTTAGTCCAAGTCCTCTGTTTGCCCCTTAAAATGATTGGAAGTGACCCTGTGTACTCGACTGTACCTCTGAACCAGCGCCACAGATGAGGTTGCCTGGTAATGCCACATGTGAGGCCGTTCTAATGCACTTATGTAACCACATACAGCTGCATTGTGGACGGCACAGAGCTCAGAGTAGGAAGGAGAAACTATCTGCAGTGTGACTGAACTCGCTGCTGCTCCGTCACCAACTCTCTAAAATCAAATCATGTAGTTAAAATAACAAACCTTTATTTTTAAAAGGCAGATATCCTCTTTATTAGGTTTTCAATTATATTCACAGTTTACAAATCATCTTAAACCCCCTGAAATGTTTGCAGACTCATTGGGCCACCTCACTTCATTTCAAACATGTTTTGATTGTTTTTTATTTTAACCTTTCGAATGTACGAACATTGCATGTACTCAGCATAGTCTAGTGAGGTAACAGTTGGCCATTTCTCTTGAGTACAATGTGCTACATCAAATACACACCTTAAAATGGAACGACCAAAATGAAACGCAAAAGGTAAACTTTTCTTAATTTGTGTGTGTGTGTGTGTGTGTGTGTGTGTGTGTGTGTGTGTGTG